CATGGTGGTTAAGGTGGCCAAATCTCACGTGGCAAATTGCCGAATTTGAGTCCCCGAACCTGTGGCTTAAAGAACACGCCAGGCCTCTGTGTGTACCTGCATGCCAAAAATTCCCCAAAGGAGGGAGAGATGGAGCAGCAGGGGCTGTGGCGTGACCATGCCCCATGGGAGGATGCTTTCCACAGGGGCTGTGGCGTGGCCGTGCCCCATGGGAGGATGCTTTCAGCAGGGGCTGTGGCGTGGCCGTGCCCCATGGGAGGATGCTTTCAGCAGGGGCTGTGGCATGACCATGCCCTATAGGAGGATGCTTTCTCACTTTTTGTTTTTTTTTTTCTGCGAGCATCTTCTAGCAAATTTTAAAAAGACAAGAAAATAGCATCCCCTTCAGGCTGTTGAGTTGCAGAAATACATTTTTCACTCTAGGCAGATGAGTTCTGGGTGAGACAAAGAGAAGAAAGAAATACATCTTCTCTTCCAGCCTGACAGCAAGCCCTGTGCTGTGGCCTGCGGGGGCCTTCCGTAGGCACAAGCTGGACTGCCACAGTGGGGACCCCTGGCTTTGCCCCCCTAAAGGAATTCAGAGCTGGCTTCTAGTGGTCACGTGTCCCCCCATATCCCCTGTTCCTGGAGCGAGTAGGGCAGGTGGGTCTGGCTGTCCACGCGGACAGGAGGAGGTGGAAGCAGAGCAGCTGCCAGGTGAGACGCAGGAAGCCTGGGCAGGTGAGCAGACAGGATGGAAGAATCTGGAGCCTCCTAAGGACTCTCCCAGGGCAGGCATCAGAGAGTGTAAGAAGTGGGCCCAGGACCCTGTGGGACACACACCGAGCCCGGCTCAGAGGTCTGCAACAAAGGTCCATAAAAAAGCCCCTTTTTGGAACTCATGGGTCTTCTGTTTCTGGAAAGAACTTGCTCCTAAATTGGCCAGTCTGAGTCTGGTGTTTCTCACCCAGCACCTCATTCCTTTTTCTCCTCACGATTGGTCACTTTCTTTTCTAACAAGTTAAAAGTTACTCTCCCCACGTCAGGCCTGCTATGAACATGTAGCTTCTTTTTACTCTTTTGGGTTTTTCTCCCAGCTGGCTAGGCGCGGGACCCAGTATCCAGCTTCAGACAAGTGACATCAGTTTCCATTCGGGATGGGTGACTGCCCAGGTGTATGTCTCGTCTCTTCACCCTCTTCCCTGCCCCTCTCTACAAAGCCGAGAGGGCTTCTGTGACCCCCTGCAGGCAGGAAAGAGGGAGCCTCACCCCACATGGTGCCCTCTGTGTCCTCACTGATCTTTGCCACAAAGTGGCTTGTTTGTTCCAGTCCCATCTGGCCACCAGGGCCACTGCGGTGGTACCAGCAAGTTTGAGGAATTTCTTTTTCTTTTTTTGGAGAGGTTTTTGCTGTAGGGCGCATGCACTCATCCCCCACCGTGGATGGCCACGCCGCAATCCCTTCTCCTCCGTTCTCCTCTCAGGATCTTAGGCACGCACACACACATGCCCGGCCTGAGTTTAACCCCCCAGGTCCAAGACTCGAACCATGGTTGACTACGTGGGAGTCCAACAACGTAGTCATTTCGTAGTCTGCTGGTCCCAAGTTTGAGGAATTTCTTACCAATCATTGACCTCCAACCAAGCTGCCTGTTTGTCCTAAGAGAGGAGATGGTGACACGCCTGCCTGTACCCCAGGCACGACTCCTTACAACAGCAGCTCGTCTGTCTCCTGTCACCCGCATGCAGTCAGGCGACATCGGGACCGTTAGCACTGCACCCCTAAACGGGAGAACCCGGGCACAGGGTGGTTTGAACTGGCTCGCCCAAGATCACATGGCTAAGTGGGTAGAGGACTGGCAGGGAACTGAGACCCCGACTCCGGAGCCAGCACTGCTCACCCCCGTGCCCAGCTGCTGCCTCTCTGCCTGCTTCTGGGCTCAGTGAAACCCCGGCCCCTCACCCCTGCTGTCCAGCTTTGCTCTGTGTATTCATGTGCATCCACGTGTTTGCGTGTTCCCTACCGCTTTATCATGTACGGCCTTCCAGCCGCACTGCAGAATCATCCCATCACTATAAGGCTCCCCGGGCCTCCCTGCCCCTCACCATGGATGGGTGGCTTTTCATCGTTCAGGCTGCTTCAAGTGACAGTCACTTTCCTGCGGCTGTGGCCTAGGCCCTGAATCCACTCTGACTCAGCCTGGCTGGCGTTCTGTGACATCATCCTCAGCCTTGCTGTCCTAGGCTGAGTGGCTGGGGGAATCGTGAATCAGGATTGGTCTCCAGGGTCCCGTGTGCCCACAGAATCGCGGGACGCTCCCTCTACGCCCGGGAAGCCCTTCAGGTGGCCACATTCACAGGACTGGGCTTCCTCCCCACGCCTCCTCCTGGCTGTAGTTTCTGGGTCTGAATTGCATCGAAACGCCTATGTCTGCTACTCTGCTCTCCCCAAGAGAGACCTGGTCTCCTTGCCTACCCGTTTCCCCCCAGCCACCCCGTGGGCCCTGTTACAGAACAGATGTTTATTCTGTAAACCGCTGCCGCCAGAATTCTCTTGTCGCTGCTGGTACAGCCTCTGTGCCTAACTGGCCACTGTCACTTCTTACAGTCCATTCCCTGCCGCCTATTTCCGTTTTGCTAAAACAGTATTCTTGATCTGTGAGAAAGTAGGGCATTTTCAGTCTGTCCGACAGAGTTCTTGTGCTGCTCATTGATCATGGTTTAACTGGTGCTGTGGTCTCAATGTCACCTCCAGAACGCATGCTGAAATTTAATTGCCAAGGTAACAACATTTGGAAGCGGGAACCCACTAAAAGTGATTGTGAGGGAACTTAATGCCTTTTTAAAGGGGGGAGGGCTGAGACTGCAGGTGGCGTGGTGGTTAAGGCACTGGACTCCCACATGGCTGATTGCAGTTCGATTCCCAGACCTGGCAGCTTGCTTTCGCTCTCACTCTCTCTAGTCAAACTGAAGAGGAAGAAGAAGAAAATAAAATAAATAATTCTTTAAAAAATAAAAAAGGGCTTTTAAGGCCAGCAGATTGTATGGTAGTTGGGTCACTGGATTCCCACGTGGCCGACTGTGGTTCAAGTTCTGGACCTGGTGGCTTGTTTTCTCACTTTCTTTGTCTCTGTTTGGTGAGTGCCTGTGTTAAAAATACAATAAAATAAATAAATAAATAAAATACATCTTCTTAAAAAGAAGAAAAGGAAGGAGCTTTTGGAAGAGGACTCTCTCTCGCTCACGAGCGTGGGCTTGCTTGCCCTTCCGCCATCACCTTGGGATTGTGCAGCACAAGAGCCCTCGTGGGATGCCAGCACCATGCTCTTGGGCTTCCCAGCCTTCCTACCCATGGCCACAGCAGCTTCAGTTTATAAATTACCCAGTCTTGGGACCAACAGTTGGAGTAATGACTATGTCGCTGGACTCCCATGTGGTCGACTTCAGTTTGAGTCCCGGACCCGGTGACTTAAACTCACTCCGGGCACACGTGTGTGCGTGCCCAAGATCCTGAGAGGAGAATGGAGGAGAAGGGATTGCAGCATGGCCATCCCCAGTGATTTCTCACTTTCTATCTGTCTCTTTCTGTCTTTCTGGCGATCGTATGCACCCTATAGCAAAAACCTCTCCAAGAAAAGAAAATTATTGAGTCTCAGCTATTCAGTTAAAGCAACATAAAACAGACCAAGGCAGCTAGGGAAGACTCCTGGGCCCACACCTGGGCTCCTGGGTACTTCGAAGCCCTTCATTGAGTCTGGTCTCTGTCGTTGCTGATGCAAAACCCCTTTTGGTGGGACTGCCCAACTTTTCCCACCAGCACAGTGTGAGGCTTCCAGCTTCTCTGCATCCTCTGCATCCTTTCGTTTGTTTGTTGGCCACTTGGAGAAATGCCTGTTCAAGTCTTCCGCCAATGTTTTATTGGGTTGTTGGTCTTTTCGTTGAGTTCTAAGACCTCTTGATGTCTTGTGGATATCAAGTCCACCTTTTAATCCACTAATTCTCTCTTCGGTAGTCTTCTTTTTAATCTACCTGCTAGGTCTCTTTGTTTTCAATTTTATGTCTACATTTTCCCCCCCGGGATTCCTGGTTCTTTCCTAATGTTTTATGGACTCCATCGCACCCTTTATTTCTTTAAAGATGTTTGTTTTGCTTTGACGGAACTCTCTCTTCATGAAGGACACTGTCAGGAGTGGTGTCCTCCCAGATCTGAGAGGGGGCGGGGCTCACACGTGCACAGTCGTCTGTCCTGTCCTGGAAGTCTGTCAGTCTCTCAACGTGGAGTACTGGAAGGTTCATGCCAAGCTTGCCATCTCCTCGGACAGTGTGACGTGGCTGCTGGCCATCCCGGGCTGAGCTCCTCCCCTGGCTGGCTTCCAGACTAACCCCACCTCAGCCCCCTTCCCTTCTCCAGGCTCTCGCCTTCTCTCTTCCCCTCCAGGAGGAGCCTCAGAGAAAAATCGTTCTCAACATGGCCCCCTCTGGACTTGTCTTTCCTCACCATCATAGTAGTAAACGGACTTGGGCCAGCGAAGAGGAAAGAAAGCTGCTGTGTCCACCCCTGGTCCAGGAGAGACAGCTGGCCCACCTGGTCCAGCTCACCAGGGCCCTCCATGGATTTCAGAGCAGAAGCCCCGAATAGGATTGAAAGCAGGCTTACATGAGCTGGCCCTTGTTGGGGACAAAGGCAAAACTGATGGAAAGACGCAAACACCCACATACATCCTAGTGCAGAGGAGAACTTTTTAAAATTATGCAAAAAATTACAGTTTCCTTTCTTCCTTTGGGTTACTGCATGGCTCTAGGAGCACAGAATAATACATGTGACGTGCTTCTTTGACTCTGCTTCCCTTCACTCACACCCCATGCCTCTGCTTGGTGTGCTGCCATTCCCAGCTAGTCTGCCCTTCATTGCCCGACTCTCTCCATTAGCTAAGACCGCATGAGTGGGAGCTCCGTGGATGTGGCTCGCAGGTGAAAGGGCATTGCCTAACCTAGCACGTTCTGTCGTCTTCTGTTACAAGATCATCCCCAGCGACCCCTTCTGGGTGCCCACCACCGAGGAGGAGTACTTGCACTTTGGAGAAAAGGCCGACTCCGAGAACCAGGCCCGGAAGTACATGAATGCCGTGCGGAAGCGCAAAGGTCTCTACGTGGAAGAGAAGATCGTGGAGCACGCGGAAAAGCAGAGGACGCTCAGCAAAAATAAGTAGCTACTGCTGTCGATGGATTTTTCTTCTTTATAATGAATTTTAAAGTAATCACGGGTTTAATTGGGGGAAATTTTCTTTGTGATGCACTGTCTCTGTACACTCACTGTCAATAAAGTTGGTCCATACCACATTTTAAAGAGGGTGTTGAAGAACACATTTCCAAAGTGTTTTTTGTTTTTTTAATCATTTCTGGCTTAAGACAAGAAGTTACCAGTGTTAACAGCGGTGACTTGGTCCTGCCCGCGCGTGATCCCCGCCCCAGCGGCGAGGCGTGTGCTGTGTCGGGGTGGCCCGTCCAGTGCAGGGACAGGGTGTGCCGACCCCATGGTGAGCAGTGTCCTCTGCCCCGAGCAGCTGTGCCTGGACTCATGCTCTCCCGCCTGTGACTGTGGTGTCACACTGCAGAGTACAGCCTCCACATGACTGGCACATGCCCTTCCCTCTGTGTCCCAGCATCATGCCCAAACTCTGGCCTCCGTTTCTGAGCGGGAGCGTTTCCTCTTGAATCGTTGAGTCACATACAGAGACCTTCTTCACAGAGACCACATCCCTACCTGAGAGGGCAGCTGCTTTTTAGTGAAACCAAGGCACCGTTACAGCTGGTCCATTTTAAGGTGGTGTATGTAGCGGTGTGGCCGGCCCGTCGGGGTTCTCGCTCGCTCTCTTTTTCTGACATGCACCCTCTGGCATTAAAAAAATATGTATATACATACACACACACACACACATACATATATATTTATATATATACATATGTATATATTATATATATATATAAAAATATAAATATTTGGTATCCCATAATAATTGTTATAGCCAGTTAAAAGAAGGATTCCTTTTAATAACAAAATTTTGTTGCAGCTTTATTTTTGAAATGCTTTAATGGCTTTTCTTAGTAAATGAGGACATTCTTTTTGTTTTAAGAGTTTTTTGCCTTAAGGAAGATGTGCTCCCTGGAGAGAGAGAGAGACAGAGACAGTGAGAGGGAAAGTGAGAAATTACCCCCCAGGAGGGATGGCCATGCTCCAACCCCTTCTCCTCCATTCTCCTCCCAGGATCTTGGGCACGCATGCTCACGCACCCCGCAGGAGTCATCAGGTGTGGGATTCGAACTGCGGTCAGCCATGTGGGAGTCCAGTGTCAGAACTGCTATAGAGGCCGTTCTTAATACTAGCTTTTTTATCTTTAATCTTCAGAACCCTGGCAGGGCTGGTCAAGTCTCATGGACCCAGACTTTGGGAGAAAGTAGGGCTAGAAAATTTACTGTCTGTTTAAATGTAACGGAGAGTTGTATCTAGATGAATTTAGGAGACTTATGCCACGTGTTGGTTTATTCGATTGCTTTGATAAGGTAGGAAGAGCTAGCACATGGATTTATAGCATTTGTACATAACATCATTGAAACTGCCAGATGTGCTATAAAAAGTATTCTTCGACTCTACACTTTCTCGGTGAATTCCGCATTTAATAGAAAAGCGGCTCAGCCCAGCGAGTTGGAGCCTTTTCTGCAGTTCTCTTGGGCATCGCCAGATGTGCCGCTGTGGGGAAAGCTGCGTGTCAGGTTGATAAAGGGTCTCTTTCTCGTGAGGAAGTTCCTCAAAGGTAAAGGTGACCCTCCCATTCGGTGGCTGGTGCACAGCAGATGCTCAGCACGACCTGGTGGAAGGCGGGACCCCCTAAGAGTAGCCACGGCAGACCGACATCGAGAGCACGGGCTTCCACCCCATCCCAGTGCTTCCGGGATGCCACGCTTAGTGAAGGGCCCGTCCTGGAGTAGCGATTCTCAGAGGGTGGTCCCCCTGGGCCAGCTACATCAGCATCACCGAGGAGCTGTGAGAAGTGCAGATTCTCAGCCCCCTCCTCAGACCTCCAGCTCCAAACCACTGTGTTTTGGTTATTTGTTTGTTTTTTAAGAGATTTTTTTTTTTTTTCTTTTGCTCTAGGGTGTGTGCACTCACCAGAAAGACAGAGACAGACAGAGAGAAATCACTCGGAGGCTCCTGCCAGAATCCCTCCTCTTTCATTCTCCTCTCAGGATCTTGGGCATGCATACACATGTGCCCAGCGTGAGTTTAAGCCCCTGGGTCCGGAACTCAAACCATGGTCGACTAGGTGGGAGTCCAGTGACATACCCATTATGCCATCTGTTGTTCCCAGTATGCTGTGGTTTTAACAAGGCCTCCAGGTGATTCTGACATGCGCTCAGGTTTGAAGACCACCACTGAGATCCCGAGAGGAGAATGGAGGAAAAGGGATTGCGGCGTGGCCATCCCCCCTTGGGGTGATTTCTCGCTTTCTGTCTCTCTGTCTCTCTCTGTCTTTCTGGTGAGCACACGCCAAAAAAGGAAAAATAAAATTTAAAACTAATTGTAAGCTTCCCCCTTTTTTTTTTCTTTTAACTTGCCAGAGGGGGAGCACACCCATCAGAGGAAGAAAAGAGAAAGAGAGGGAACGAGGAAGAGAACCCCCCAGTGGACCGTAGTCATGCCACAGTCCTTTTCTCTCCATTTTCCTCCCTCATCAGAAGTTCGGGCACCCTCTCACACTCACCCAGCATGCTCATCTGGGGTGGGATTCAAACTGCAGTCAGCCGTGTGGGAGCCAGCTCTCTGCAAAGCACTTCATTCTTGCACACTGTACTTCTTAAATGTTCATTAGCTAATTCACCATTTACAGACGAAAACGCACACTATTCATCGGTGACGTAATCGAAGTAACATTTTGCAAGGCATCATTTGGATAATTGATTTTCTTCCACTTTACAGTAGCTGTAGAAATGCTTTAGTCTTTTCCAGTGTATACATTGGTATTTTAGGATTGGGACTCTCAAACTAAAGATGAAAAAAAATAAAAAATAAAAAAGAAGGAAGACCAAAAAACCTATTTATTTAAAAAAAAAAAGCATCTATTTAGTGTTCATTCTGGGCAGAGGGCTGACGGGCAGAGGAGAGGGTTACTTGTCTCGCACACCCAGTAGAGGCTCAGAAATGGGGGACAGGTGCATCTTTAGCAGGGCAAAGATCTGGGGCACATATAAATGTACTTTTAAGGAGAAAGGATTGGATCAAACAGGAAGGGATTGTTTGAACGTCAGATTTAGATGTTTCTTTTTTTATTTGCCCTAATTGAAAAGAAAAAAAGAAAAGGTGACCTTATGCGATGTCTAGTTGTGAGTTTTTATTCCCTTCCTTTTCTTTTTCTTTCTTTTCTTTTTCAGAAAGTATCTAGAAATATCCGTATTGGGAGAATTTTTCTATTATAGGTATCACGTGAGACCTTTGAAAATACACTCAATTTTAAATGCTACCTGGTTCAAAGACATTTTCTTCCATTGGAATGACTTCATTTTGGGGAATGTCAATTAAGGATGAATTCATGTGGCCTTTTCAGAGGCTTTGGGGTGCTTTTAAAACTTGCCACCGCCGCCACCTTCTCAGTCCTTCAAATAAATAGGATTTCGCATTTGCAATGGAGCTTGATAAAGAAAAGGCCGTGCCCGCTGCTCATGTTTCTCTAGGACAGAAGAACTCTCAAGGCTGAGACTCCATGCCACGTGGGCCTCTCTCAAGAGAGAATTTTGAGAATTGATTCCCTTCCCTGGAAAAGGTTAATACTTCTTTTCTTTCTTTTTATTTTTTTTAATTGCCAGGGGGTGCATATGCTCACTGAAGAGAGAGAGAATGGGTACCCCATGGGGCTTGGTTACGCTTCAATCCCTTCTCCTCTGTTTCTCCATTCTGTTGGGATTTGGGGTGCACTCACACACACATCTGCCTGGCACGCTTTTCAAGCCACCAGGGCCAAGAGACGTACTCATTTTTCTTCAGGCTGTTCATTGAGTCATGCTGCTGTGGAAATGGGTCTTTGTCCTTTCCCCTTTGTGTTTTGCGGGTGAAATCTCGAAGCAGTGGATACTCTCTGCAGGGTTTTATGGAGCTCGGAGTGAATTGGCTCCCCGGCACCTGCTCTCCTTAGGACCCAGACAGTGTCCCCAAGGCCTCGCCTGGGGTGTATCCAAATGGTCATCACCAGGTAGACACAAAAATCCCTGCCCGCTTCTGTTCCTCACTGAGCCAGTCATGTTTGCCACCTTCTCATGGTGCATTTTCCTCCCGGAACGCTCCTCAGCATCCTACAAATAGATTTTTGTAGGCCCATCCCACCAAGCTGTCCAGCAAGCCCCAGAGTCTGAACCTCTGTAATAAACATAGCTTGAGGTCTCCAAAACCAGTGCTTCTCAAATAGAGCTGCAGAATGGAATGACCTACAGAGCTTTAAAGATCACAGATGCCTTGGGACCAGCAAATGGCATAGTGGTTGTATTGCTGGACTCCCACATGGCTGACCGTGGTTCGAGTCCTGGACCCAGTGACTTGAAACTCATGCTGGGCGCATGTGTGTGCATGCCCAAAATCCTGAGAGGAGCATGGAGGAGAAGGGATTGCAGCTTTTTCCCCTGGGGGTGGTGGGAGGATTTCTCACTTTCTGTCTTTCTCTGTCTTACCAGTGAGCACCTGCACCCTATAGCAAAAATCTCTATGAAAAGAAAAATCACTGATGCCTGGATTTCCCCCCCAGAACTTCTGATTTATTGAGTTTGGGGTATGGCTTGGGCACTAGGAGAGCAGAAACTTCATGGGTGACTAACATGTGACCAGCTTGGAAAACCACTGCCCTGAAAGCAGGCCCTCTTATTTATTATCACCTAATCCCCCAGGTGAGGAAACAGTGCAGAGATCCAGGTACCCTTTCAGGGTCACGCAGCCTAGAGAGTGGTGGGGAATATCAGGGAAGACTTGATTCAACCACATGTCCCAGAAAACCAGGTAAGAGACTTGAACGAGATGTTAGTTTCTCTCCCATAAGGGAAGTGCAGAGGAGGCTGTTGACCCGCTGTCATTAGGAACCCAAGTTCCTTCTCTCTCTCTGATCATGTACCATGCAGTGACTTCCATCCTCAGGTTTGTGCATGTCTGAAAGGGGCCGCTCCCTGGAGCCCTAGATTTTGCATCTGTATTTTAGGTAGGAAGGGCAAAGAGGTTGGCTTTAGCTGAGGCCACTCTCTTTAAAGTCGCCTTTTAGAAGCCCCAGATCAACAACTGTCATTTAGGTTCCATTAGCTGCCCTCATTGCCAGG